TTTTACCAAGTGCTTTGAGTTGGGTATTTGAGGCCCTAGTTATTTCTCTGATGGAAGATCCCAGGAACGAGGTTATTTTTTCCTTTCCCCTTTTTACCTCCAACCCCAGCTCCTAACCCGAGGGGCACAGCACGCCCACATGTCTTTTGACCAACCCAGTTTTGGTGCCTACGCTCGGGGCCCCAAGGGCTCTTCCCCCCTCCAGGAATAATTTATAGCCACTTTCCATCTGGTCATCCTCTCTGGCATCCACACTGCAGGACAGGTGTCTGTATTCATGGATAGGGACAAGAAGACCATCATAAAGCAATGGTGTGGGACTCTGTGCGGCTGACTGAACTTATTTCACCACTCTTGGATTTGGGGCACACCCATCTCTAAAGAGTGCTGTTGGAGGTCTGGGGGCCCTCTGCAGCCCTACAGTGGCGTCTGCAATCCCAGGCACCAGGAAACAGGACCCCTGTCGTGGGGTCCGGACGTCTCCCACGGAGTCCAGATGCACGGATCAACCAGAGTAGTAACGAAACAGATCTCCCTATATCTGTGGGGTGAATGATGAGACATCTGAGCTCTGCTGGCCTTGGGAAAATGGCCTGACGTGGTCTGATGTCAGGGCTTTGAGAGTTGTCCCAAGGGACTGCTCTGATGCAGCCATAGTCAAGGGATAAACTGGTGGTTGTTCTGAGGTGTCTTCACTAAGATACGTCCTGAGACAACTTTCACTGCAGAGCTGGATGAAGCAGGGTGAGTTTATACCCATTTTACTGGTGAAGCACCTGAGGCCTGGAGGGCTTAGTGACTTCTCCCAGAGTGAGGCACAGGACTCCTGACACCTGACTCCTGATTGTTTTCTGAGCAGGTGCCTTGGTGGCTACCAGGCTCCTGTCTGGTTTAAGGAAGGGAGGACGAGGGTTGCACTGGGTCAAGATCAATGAAGAACCACATCCTTTGCCACTGACTTCATTTTAATTCTCAAGGCCAGCAGTCCATTTGTGTAGGCAGAGCCTTGCCCCTTGATGAGAAGTATTGGTACTCCAAAGGGTCATGAGAGCAGGAAGAGAGTTTTAGGCTTTTGGATGAGATAATATGGACGGGTTAGCTCACACCATGACTGGTCCAAGGGTTCAGACCTTCAAGAAGTCACAGGATCATAGAGTGTCAGCTTTGAGGCCATCCTGGTTAAACCTTTCTTTGACAGATAGAGGAACTGAGGTTTACAGGGGGAGAAAGTCCTTAAGGTTACTGGGCTGGCAACATGGAGGTGTAGATCTGAGAAGAAGTACAGGAAATATAAGTGATCAGCTTCAGGTTGTGCTAAATCAGGAGTCCACAAGAACTTACTAAGTCAGGAATGGCAAATCAGAGCCAGATCTAATCAACTGACCCAGAGCCCAGAACTGAGTGAGTGTGTGAGACTGTAGGTAAGCTCTGAGAGACATGGTTCAAGAATTTGATCAGTCATGTCTTCTTAGACTTGAGATAAGTGGGCATGTTTATGTGTCCCAAGGTGAAGAGGAGATCAGGAAAGTTGAGATGATGGTTAAGACAGGGTCATAAATACCCAAGAGTTAGTCCCCATAGGCTGGAATTGGGAGGGATGGTGAAGGTAGATCTCCAGTGAGGAAACAGTACCTAAAGGCACTGTCAGCTGTTCAGGTTGCTCTAACTTTCCTTCTCAGGATTCTGCCATACTCTTTTGGAAGGTCTGTAACCTTGTAGATGCACTTGACCCAACACAGTTTATGGTACACAGCAGGTGCTTAATGCAGAAGTTCTGTATTCAACCCCAAGTTTTGTGTTTAACATCTTGTCTCGCAGCACTGAAGTTGACTTTCCTGCTCCCAAGCCTTGGATTCCCCAATGCAGAATAAAGGTGTTGGGTCAAGTCTGAGTTTCTCAAAAGGTAGCCAAAGGAACAGCAGTTCTGTAGGCTGGTTGCAGCTATTTTGTGGAATAAAACAGATTTCCATGACCAATTTCACTTAAAATATTGCTGGATTAAAAAAGCATTTTTAACTTCAAGGCTTCTCAAATTCCTTTGCATTAAGAATTCACCTTAAAGTGAATTACTCAGGTAAGCAATTGCTTGAAAACAGAAGCACACCAGACAGGATAGTATGAAAAGGTCTTTCAGTTTCAAAATATAATTCTTTATAAATAAACTTTGAAAATAAAGATATGAAGGGAAACAAAACTAATGATCAGCTCATTTTAGTTCTCTCCTGTAGACTTGATACAATGGCTGGTCTTTAACATCCGTGGTTAAGTGCCTTAAAGCAAGTGGCCACCATGGGGTAATTTCTTTAGCGGAGAACTAGAAATCAGTTGGATTGAAAACAGTTGGGCCGGTGCTGCGGCTCACTAGGCTAATCCTCTGCCTTGCGGCGCCAGCACACCGGGTTCTAGTCCTGGTCGGGGCACCGGATTCTGTCCCGGTTGCCCCTCTTCCAGGCCAGCTCTCTGCTGTGGCCAGGGAGTGCAGTGGAGGATGGCCCAAGTCCTTGGGCTCTGCACCCCATGGGAGACCAGGATAAGTACCTGGCTCCTGCCATTGGATCAGCGCGGTGCACCGGCCGCGGCGGCCACTGGAGGGTGAACCAACGGCAAAGGAAGACCTTTCTCTCTGTCTCTCTCTCTCACTGTCCACTCTGCCTGTCAAAAAACAAACAAACAAAAAACAGTTGAAAGAAGTCATTCGTTAAGAGCAGCCCAGATTTTTCACTTGCATTAATGATGTGACTGGTGATGAAACCAACTGGTAAAATTCACTGCAGAACGATGCTGACTTGGGTTTTTTTTTTGGGGGGGGGGAGGCAGAAGACATAAGCTTTGTCAGTATAGCTGCTGTGAAGAAGACTCCCCAGCATCCTAGGCTGTGTGATGCTTTGCAGCAGAGCACGGGGTAAGGTTGCTATGATCCCACGCACACTGCTGTGGTCTCTGCCTGGGAGGTGGCGCTCCCAGTGCCTGATCCCAGGGAGTTGTGACCAGAAGGCAGCTCCAGCTGCCTGTCTCTCTGTTCAGAGAGTGACTGTTCCTCTGAACCAAGGGCTGTCTTCGTTCTCTATTTAAAAGAGTCAACATCTGTTTGACATGCCTTTCTACAAATATGGCCACAGATACCTGAAAGCTCTCCGTGTCAATTGTTTCCATCAATTTCCTGGCAAAAACTGATATTCAGCAATGTGATGTACAAGGGTACTGTCAGGACCATTCATGGATTTAGAACAAATGTCCATGCTGGGCCCCAGCCCCTGGAGACTCTGATGGAGTAGATGTAATGAGGGGGTAGGCATCTGTGTTCTTAAAAACTCCTATCCATCAGTATAACACACACATCTATCAGTAGGACTAGGCACACAAAATGTGGCTTATTCCTTCCATAGAAAGCCAGATCTCAGGATCAAAAAGCTACTGATACTTGAAGCAGCGTGGCACCAGGTTAAGTGAAGAAAGTGTCATCAAAGAATACGCAATGTAAAATCACACTGTATAAAGTTGGAAAAAAAGGTAAAACTATTATGTTGTGTTAGAACTCAAAATCGTAGTTTATTTTGGGCAGGGGAGTGGGATTGATGGCAAAGGCCCGGGGGCGATTCCTGGGAGTGATGAGAAGATTCCTGCTGTAGGGGATGGCCTATGCAAAAGCACACAATTTCAAAACCTAAGAAACTCAATCTTTAAGACATGTGAGTTTTATTGTACATAATTTATACCTCATTTAAATAAAACAGGCTAACTTCCTCATAAGTCCCCAAATTAGAGTCCCACACCTGTGCCACAGTCCAAGAATGATCATCTTTACATGAGGGAGGGGCCTGCATCAGCCACAGCCTCAAGAAATGGAACACTTCCCTGTTCTCTGCCTTACATAACACAATTCCTCATTTTCATTTACTCTCTAGGATTTCCCCCACCCTTCGTCTTTTGGATTATAGAACCTTGGGGACCTTAACATGCAAAAACCAGCTCAGTAATGAGCCCATAGATTTCAAGGAGCGGTGCCCCTTGCTGGTTTCCCTTCAGCAGCCACATCCACATTCCTAGGAGAATGGCCACTGGGAAGGAATCTTGTGTTTTTCACCAACTACCATGTGCTTGTTAACTACCTCCCTTTCTTTTCAAAATAACCCCAAGGAGGAATAGAGGTATTTTTGCTACCACCCAATTTTCCAGATGAGCACTTGTTAGAAGAAGATGCAGAAAGGCCCAATGGTGGCGTTTAAGCTGATCAGGCTGCCGTAACAAAATACCTTATCAAACAACAGACATTTATTTCTCACAGTTCTGGGGACTGGGAAACCCAAAGACAAAGGAAAGGCAGACATAATGTTTGGTGAGGGCCGGGCTCCGGTTCAGAGGCCATGGATCTTCTGGTTTGGCCTCGCGTGGTAGAAGGTGCTGACTGGCTCTCCCAGTCTCCTCTGTAAGGGCACTAACCGTATTCCACCCTCATGGCTGAGTCACTTCCTGAAGCTCCCACTCTCAACACCTTCACCTTGGGGTTAGGATTTTAACATGACTGGAAGGGCATAAACATTCAGACCTTAACTGGTGACATTAGGTTGATAAGTAGAGGAGGCAGGGATAGAACAATGTTTGCAAAAGTCTTAAAATTTAAGAGCCTTTTCCATCCGGGGAATGAGGGGGATAAAAGTAGAGATGGCCTTTTGGAGATGCAGGTATGTGTAAAACTGGCACTTGACAACGAGTTTCATTCCCAGTCGCCAGAATTCAAGCCAGCCAGGCCCCCACACCCAGGCAATCCCATGTTCTCTGGTGCACCCTTGTTGGTGGCTTAGAAGTGGGAATCTCACGGTGACTTTGATACAACTTAGAAAACAAGGAAGCAAGTAGGGCATGTGGATGCCTTTGCTCCTGGATCCTATGGAATCCCATATGTGGGTGGCGAGGCACAGGGAGAAGCCGTGGTGTGTGTGTGTGTGTGCGTGTGTGTGCGTGTGTGTGTGGGGGGGGCGCCGTGCGTGGAAGGGGGTTGCTGTACCTAGCGCGAGGCACTGGAGGAGGAGGAAGAGGTAGCTGAGATCTGAATAATTGATTCTTCAGTCTCTCCAGACGCTCGGGAGCGGGCGGAGAGCGTGGTTTCAGCACCACGGATAGCGGCGCGCGCCACCACAGGCTCCGGGGTCGCCAGCCAGACACCCTTCGTGGCCTTGTTCGGCGCCGTGCGCTCCGGGAGCGGGGCGCTGCGCTCCGCGCGCCACCGCCTAGAGACTGCGGGGTCTGCCTCGGCCGCCTACGGGGAGGGCGCCTGCGGGCGGAAGACGCTTTAGTCCGCCGGAGCTCCAAGCTTCTCCGGCGTGCGCGGGGGCTGCTGCGTCTCACTGGCTAAGAACAAGTCCCCAAGTTGGCGTGGTGGGCGCCCCTGCCTTCCTCCTCCTCTTCCTTGGAGGCGACAGCAGCAGAAGCACTCCCGGGAACCCGGCTTTGCCAGACTGAAACAGGCACTCTCCGGACTCCCGCCGGGAAGTGGGGAGCCGAACGCGCAGAGCGGAGCTGGCCCCGCAGCCTAGGGCCGGAGGGAGCTGCCTTCCCTCGCCCGCGTCTCTCTCGGCCGGGGACCGCGGGGATCCCCGGCCACACGCGCGCGCGCGCTCCCACACTCACTCTCACACACACGCACTCGCCCTCACACACCAGCCCGGAGCTGGGCTGCGGACAGGGTGCTGGGGCGCGCTCAGAGGACCCCGCGGCTGCCGTCCGGAGTAGGTCAGGAAGCCTTGCTAGGGCTCTCCGAGCCAGGGAGGCTCCGAGGGCTTGGCCGGAGCATGGGGCCGGGTGAGCGCTGAGTCGCGGCCGCTGCCATCAAGCCCTGGAGATGACCAGGAGCGGCCACTGCTGAGAACTATGTGGAGAGAGGCTGCGGTGAGTGCTGGCGCGGGACGCGGATCCTAGGAGGCCCCCGTAAGGAAGGGGGCGGCAGGAGGCCTGGCCTGGGGAGGCGGGCGGCAGGACCACCGGGGGGTCGTTGCGTGGGAATCGTCGCGCCTCCCTCGGGGATCCGGGACCGCGGGAGGCGGCATCCTTCCCTCCCCCTCTCCTCCTGCCGGCTCGTCGCAAACTCAGCCAGCGTCCCCCCCCCCTTTTTTTCTCCCAATCACCCCCCACCCACCCACCCACCCACCCAGCGGCTCCTTGTCGCACAAGTCCCAGCAGCAGGCGCCGGGGAGGTGGATGGGGTGAGGGTGGAGGTGCCCGGTTAGCTCTCGTGGGTGGCCAACCTGAGCTCCCATTCTCCGGTGCGTCCCGGAGCGGAGCAACCGTGATCAGCCACCGACACTAGGATCTGCACTGGGGGCGTCTCGGGCGCCCAGCTTCAGCTCCCTGTCTCGGATTGAGCCCCCCGGGCGCACGGAGGGGCTGTGAGCATTGCAGACTGCAGTCTTCCCCCGCCCCCTCCCCCTGCTGGTGGGCTGACCCTGCCTCTCCGTCTCTCCTCCGCCCGGTAGAGCCCTGCTGCAGAGCCTCCGGCTGGGATAGCCGCCCCCCGTGGGGGCGATGCGGACAGCGCGGGACAGCCAGGGGAGCGCGCGGGGGCCGCAGCATGCGGGAGCCCGCTAAACCCGGTGGCTGCTGAGGCGGCCGAGATGCTCGTGCGCGCAGCGCGCCCCACCGCATCCTCGACCTTCTCCGGCTACAGGTACGCCCCAGAGGGAGCTATGGGCTCGCTGAGCCGGGAGGAGGGAGAGCGGGAGAGGGATCCGGGGAGAGGGAGAGGAAGCGGGAGCGGGAGCCCCGGAGCGAGGTGCGGGCGGAGCACCAGGGGGCGCTGCGGACCCGCGCTCTGTGGCGCTCACCCAAAGAACGCCCAGGCCCGGCGCGAGTTCGCCCCAACTTCCCCCGGCTCCGGCAGCGCCCGGCCCGAGGGGCGCGCGCCTGTGCACGCGTGCACGACGGTGCTGGTATTTGCAGGCACGCGCAGCTGTGCACCTGGCGCGCTGCTTGGTGTGCCCCACCTGAGCACCAGAGAGGTCTCCGCTACGGCCGCCTGCGGGTGTGCGCAGAAAAGCGCGCGTGTCTAGAACGTGTGCAGCCCGCTGTCCACGTGCACCTGAGACCTGGAGGCAGGGCCCGCAGAGGAAAGGCTGGGGAGGGGCTGCACGGTCCAGGTCCCTCCGAGCGCTTCCCGGGAGCCCGCCTTTTCCCTCCGCTCCCACGCTCGTTTTTTGCCAGCTCCCACGCTGTGGCCCGCGGGGGGACGCGCCTACTCCTGGGAATTCTGCATTGCACACGGCGCGTGAGAGAGAGTCGTGTGTGCGCGCGCGTGTGTGTGCGCACACGGGCCTGGAGGGGGAGGGTCCTCCACGGGCCTCTGCACGCGATGGGGCGGACGCCAAGTTCCCCTAAGCACCGCTGGGCCTGGGCCCACCAGCGAGCGTCCCCGCTCCTGAGCGCTTGGGGTGTACCCTGCTGCGGGGTCTGCAGCGGGTGCCACGCATGGAGCGAGGTGTGTGGTGCACGTCGCGGGTTCGCTGGGGGCGGGGTCGATCTTCCCGCTCCTTGCACCAGCTGGGTTGCCAGAGTCCGCACCCCGCCTCCTCAAGCTGGGGCGGGTCCCGGGTCCGCTGCGCTTGAGCAGGGGGCGGGGTCGCGAGCTGATGTTCGCTCTACCCAGGGTGGGAGAGGATAGGAGAGAAGAGGGCTCACTCTGGGCGCCCAGGAGCTGAGTGGGGTCCATGGCTGGCGGGGCGCTCTGGGGCTGTGGTCCGCAGCCAACTTGGGGAATGCGGTGGGCGATGTGGACCCGGTCGGGCATGGGGAAGCGGCTGGGAACGGGGAATGCGCAGGCAGCGAGTTGCAGAAGGGTCGAGGGAGGTGGGCGAAATCAGGGATGAGGACTGAAGTCAGTGGCCCCAGGTGGGGCTCCTGTGCGTAACGCCTTTGGTCTGGAGCTCTGGCTCACGCGGCCCTGCCTCTCACTCTCCGCCTTGCAGGGACCGTAAGTGGCGACTATGGGCAGACTGGGCTACTGGACCCTGCTGGTGCTGCCGGCCCTTCTGGTCTGGCGCGGTCCGGCGCAGAGCGCGGCGGCGGAGAAGGGTCCCCCCGCGCTGAACATTGCGGTGCTGCTGGGTCACAGCCACGACGTGACGGAGCGCGAACTTCGAAACCTGTGGGGCCCGGAGCAGGCGGCGGGGCTGCCAATGGACGTGAACGTGGTGGCGCTGCTGATGAACCGCACCGACCCCAAGAGCCTCATCACGCACGTGTGCGACCTCATGTCCGGGGCGCGCATCCACGGCCTGGTGTTTGGGGACGACACCGACCAGGAGGCCGTGGCCCAGATGTTGGATTTTATCTCCTCCCAGACTTTCATCCCCATCTTGGGCATCCACGGGGGTGCGTCCATGATCATGGCTGACAAGGTAAGGTCAAAAGGCGGTGGGCTGCCCGACCCCGGGAGGGGGCCCGGGGAGTCCTCCCTCGCCCCTAGCTTTCGTCTTGTCCGGAGTGTGCTGGGTGTGTCCTGGCTTCCAGCCCAGGTGTGAGTGAGGCCCCAACACTCGGAAATAAATGGAGACACATTTTGCCTTGGTTCTGGAAGTGGGGCGCTGGGGGCCAGTTTGGTGTGGCAGGAAGAAGGCGGAAAATGCAGCAGCGGCATTGGGGGTGGTGGTGGACCCTTTGGAAGTTTTCAGGCAAAGCACTGAGGTGAGCCCGGGACTGCATCAGACAGCGTGGCTCGGATTCGTATAATACCAATTATGCCTGGTTGCTATGTGCAAAGTGTACCTTTCGCCCTTCTGTGGTGACTAAAGCTGTTTTTAAAAGTATTGGATGTGAATATGTTATCGGATAAAATGCCAAGATTTCCGAAAGCAGTGGTTCCTCAGATTCCCTGCACCTGTGTGTGTGTGGGGGGGTGGGTGGGTGGGTGTGTGTGGGTAGAGGTTGGAATTTTGAGCGGCTCTGGGATCCAGGAGCACATCCATGGCCTTCCTGTGAGGCAGGCACTGAGTGGGGAGAAGCCACTTCAGATCCTGAGCTTGGAGGGCCTGGCAGGTTCCTTAGGTGTTGCCCGTGTGGAGCCAACACCTCATGGCAGGGACTCCAAGGCGCTCAGATGGAGGAGTTGGCTCCAGAAGACGGGTCTTGGTGCTGAAGTTGCAGAGTTTCAGAATGAGGGTATATGCAGGCCCAGACCTCTTGGCTTAGAAGGAGAGGGGAGATCTGTGTGTGGACAGCCTGGGAGCATTTGATGGGAGAGGAGGGGAGAGAGGTAGGAAGGCGAGAGAGAGGGAGAGAGAGGGAGAAAGAGAAAGAGAGAGAGAGAGAGAGAGAGAGAGAGAGAGAGAGAGAGAGGTTCCGGGGCCTGGCTGGGGAGATCCACGGTAGTGGGGGGAGGGAGGAAGGTTGGAAGGGAGAATTGAGGGATGAGGAAAAAAAGGGAAAGAGAATAAAAGGTGCACAGCACCTCTGTGTCACCCCCAGGAAAGGGGGAGTGGGGAGTGGGAGGGGAATGAGTGCCCTGGTGTGCTGTGTGGTCCTCAGCCCTGAGACCCTCTGCCAGTGTTCCTTAGAGAGCGGTGGGCATCGCAGCGGAGAAAGCAGGCGTTTGCTCTAACACTGTTCCGGTGCTGCTCTCCCAGCACCTGTGTGTTCATTGAGTCAGAGTCTGCCTGTGCCTCAGCCACTCCCCCCGGCTCCTTCGGGAACCATGTTCATTTTTTCTGGTCTCCAGGGCTGCCGCTCATTGAGCGAAGTATCCAATGGATGCAGGATCTTATTAAACACTCATTCTAAGTGGCTTGTGGCCCAGCAGAATTCCTATGTGTGGCAGATCACCTTCCAAACCACGTTTCAGTTTTAGGAGTTTCCCTTTTTGGGAAGAAGAAAGTAGGGGGTCTCTGGGCCTCCCCACAAGTGTAGAGGACATTTCAGCACCAGGAAGGCACTTGGGGTCCAAAGCCTTCAACTCTGAGGTGAAGTGACAGAGGTACGGTGTGGTTAAGAGAGCTGGCCAAGACCACACAGCCAGATATGTGGCTTTCTGGTCCCAGCCTGTGATCCCTTGGGTCCCACCAAATCAAGCTGTCCTTTAGCTTTGTCATCCCATCTTCAGGAGAGTCAAGTATCGATGTCTCCTACAGAAAGGGAGAGCCATGGAGGGGTTGTGTGTGCAGAGGGACCAGCCTTCTAAGGAAGGCACGGAGAGCAAGGCAGCCGTGTCCAGCAGGGTGTGGGGGTGATCTTAGGATCTCGGTATTGTCAGGGATCTCTCTGCCCTTCTGAGGTTTTCATTACAGGGATGACAATTGAGCGAAAGCAGGGACTGTCCTGAAAGTGGAATTTCTAAACCTATAGGAGTCCAGCAGAGACTGGAGAATTAGAGAAGGTGGCTTGAGGCCTAGGCTGGGAGATCTGAGCAGGCTTCCTGCCCTTTCTTCTGAGTCTGAGGGCACAGATGTGTGGCTCAGGCTCTCACCTGACTGACCCACCCCGCTGAAGGCAGAGAAGGGAACAGCAGGAGCAGGAAGGGGGTTGACAGGCTGGCGAGCACCCCATTGATAATATGCACTAGGGGCTGATAAGCCTACTCCTAGGTCTTGACTCAGCGAATGTTGGGCTCTGACCAAGGCAGCCCGGAAGGGTCCATGGCAGAGGGCGTTTTGAGAAGTCCAGGGTGGGTACAGGTAGAAGCATCCTGTCTCTCCCTCACAGGGATGTGGGCAAGTGTGACCCTGCCTACGAGTGGGTAAAGGGAAAAGCAATCGGGAAGCTGAGAAGGGACATTGCCAGAGAAGTCAGAGGGACGTGAGAGGGGGCGGGCAGAAGAGGGAAGGAAGAGTCCCTTGCTTCCAGAGGGCTGAAAGGAACAGAGCCCCCATTCTGGGCATTCTGAGTTGGTCCTGGAGGGCCTGCCCTGGCTCTGAGATACTGCTGAGACAGTGGGAAGGTAAGAGAAGGCAGTGGGGTGTCGGAGAAGCTGGGGAGAAAGTGTAGGGGCAATGTCAGGTCCCAGGTGTGGGGTGGGCTGATGATGTTGAAGATCCTGAGAAGACTTGTTCAAAGGATGGTATTCTGAGACACCTGGGCGTGTTGAAAAAGGAAAGCGCCTGAGATGTGACCAGCCCTCCCTTCCCTTAGTAACACGTCTTCTGGGCTTGTGCCTTTGCCACCTGTTTCACTTAGAACGTTGAGCACCGTTTATTTGGCTCCAGAGAGGCAGACGTGAGACCTTGTCTAAAACTCTGCCTTGCTGGGGTGTGCCAGCAGTGTCCTGACCACAGGGAGGACATCCCCAAGTGGACAAGGGCTCTCTGCCTCCCCACTAAGCTGATGCTGACTTGGTAGCGCCCCTCAGTACACACTCCTGTGGCCCCATAGGAGTGCCCCTGGTAAGAGTGGCATTGCATTTGATGATCTGTTAGCATGAACACACATCCACAGTGTTTTTACCTCCCCGTCAGCCCAGCTGACCTTGAATCAAAGAACAAATTCTTAGAATAATGGGAATGGTGTTAAGTGGAAGATTCTTGAGGTGTTAATTGATCATGGAGGTGTTAATTTTTGCTTTTATCAGTGGGTGGTCTTACAAGATAATTAAATTCGAGGTGAAAATGACGCTTGACATAGATAAAATTCCAGGGGCATTTTGGTTTGGCCATTTTGATGCCATCTGGTGGAAGTAACTGTCTGGCTGTAGTAAGAGTCGCTAGCAAATCAAGCCTGTGGACTAGACCTTGGTGTTGCTGCTCCATGGCCCTGACCCCTCCCCTCTTCTCCGCTTTCTCCTCACTGCTCCATGGTGGAAGAGTGAGCCTCAGATGTCAGCCACGTCTACCCATGGCACCTACTCTTTGGGCTCTACTTGGCATGTTCTTTCTGCACATCATTCTCTTCCTATAGTAGAGTGCAAGTCCCTTGAGGACAGATTTATTTTTTGAAGGTGTGTTTATGTGTAGTTGAAATCACAAATGCCCCTTCTGCACAGACACTGTATAAAAATAATGTCTTTTCATTGTAGAGCACTTAGCACATTAAAATTTAAAGAAGAAAATGTTGCTGCAGACCCTATCGCCAGGGTAACCACTGCTGACATGGTGGATTTCCTTCTAAGCTCTATTTATTTACGACTTAATGACTATACTGTGGATATATGGTTTTGCTTTTTTACTTTGCTCTCCGAGGGCTTTCTTATTTGGAAGACTCATTTTTGTTCTTTAATTTTGGAAACATCTCAGCCACTATCTGCTGGATATTTCCTCTTCATCATTATCTCTACTTTCTCCTTCTGGAGACGCATACTTGCATACTTCACATGGTTTTTGGGAAATCCAATTAAAAGAAGTCTATTTTGGTTCAAAAAAGATACTGAGGCTGGAGCTGATATCGTGGGGTAGTCAGTAAAGCTGCTGCCTGCAATGCTGGCATCTCGTATGGGTGCGGGTTTGTGTCCTGGCTGCTCCACTTTTGATCCAGCTCCCTGCTAAGGGCCTGGGAAAGCAGCAGGAGATGACCAAAGTATTTGCCAGGCCGCTGCACCTCACATGGGAGACTAGGATGAAGCTCCTGGATCCTGGCTTTAGCCTGATTCAGCCCTGGCCATTGTGGCCACCTAGGGAGTGAACCAGCAGGAGGAAGATCTCTCTCTCTCTCTGTCTTTCCCTCTCTCTATGATTCTGACCTTCCAATAAATAAATACAATTAAAGCCTATGCTCATGGAAAATATTTATTATAAATAAAACTGCATGTGGATTTAAAAATATTTTTGCACAAAATAAATGTCTTCTAATCCTGCTTTCTATGAACTTGTTGAAGTACCCTTGTACATGTGGTTTCTCAGGACATGTATTTCTTCTCAGTTCTCTACCTCTCTGTGCTGTGTTTGGAAAGATTTCCTGAAATCTATACTGCAGTTCACCACCTTGTTCTGTCTGATCTGTTATTTTGCCTATCTATTGCCTGTTTACGTGGTAGACTTTGTTTCCAAGACATCCAATTGCTCTGTTTTCATGCTTCCCTACATTTCATTTGGTGAACAGCCCTTTTCACTTTATGCATGTAAATCCCTCCTTCTCTCTTGTCAAGGATTTAAAAAAAAATGATTACTGCAAAGCACTTCTCTGGTTTCTAGTGTCTTTGTTTCTTCACTTAGGAGTTCTTCCATCTGTAGACTCACTAACTGAGGGTCCTCGTGTGCGCTGTGATCCTTTGTGAACTTACTTTCCCATCAGTTGTATGGAATCTTGTGCCCTGTACATGTCCGGGTGTGTGTTTCTAAGGCAGTGCTCGGGTCACAAGCTCAGCTCGGGGCTCCCTCTCTGCTCCGTGCAGCTTGTGCTTATGTTGCGGGCGTGAGCTGCAGTCTCACGTTGGTGACCTGACTGGGATTCCTTGACACAGACGGGGCCTCTGGGGCAG